TCTAAAGTATCACATGAGCTCCCTGGCCCTCACCCAGATGGCCATTTGAGAAGAAATCTCAATCTAGGTATTTCCTACCTTTATTGTCTAGGGAAAAAAAAAAAAACCCTGCAATAATCCTGTGAAAAGGAAAGAGTATTTGCATAGATGCTGGACTCAGTTCCTTAGTGGATATGTCTTTTCTTGGCTGGGCAAACACGTTTCCTGTTGTAAATGTAAAGGCTCTGCCTCCTTGCAGTGAGCTCTGTTAGAAACCACCCAAGAGCAGCTGACATAAATAGTGCACAAGTAAGCACCATGGGCTCCACATCCTACAAGCAAAACTCTTTGCTCTGCTAAGCTGAAGTTTTTTAGGTTTTGGCAGAAATATCATTTTAGAGACCCAATAAATGTACATTGGAGTCATAAGGCTTTTCTCAGCTGAAGATTTACATGGGCCTCCTTTGTATCAGCCACAAAAGTATTTTAAGAGTTTGGAAATTCTAGAAGCTTTCCTCCTGCCTTACTCAGCCACTCTAGCATGATCCTCATTAAATCCCCTGACATGTAATATATTCCAGCGTACAAGAAGCCCTTCATGACTTCTCCATGCTCAGAAGGCAATAACCCTGTTTCAAAGGCTGGGAGCAGGAGCTCCTGCAGGTGTTTCCTCACCCTCCTGAGCCAGGAAGGCTGGGCTAGCACAGTGGGAACRAGCCCACGGAACGCTCAGGAATGGCTCGAGGAAAAGCATTTTTAGATTCCACTTGGGAGAGTCTCTGCTCTTGCAGAAGCTTCAGGGAGGAATTTCTCTGCAGGGCARGATGGGTGCTGGAGATGCCAATCCCATTTCTAACTCCAGCACCAAACSCTGTGCCCACGGACCCAGCAGCTGAGCCTGCTCCCTGCCCTTGCTCACACACCTGAGCCCATGATCTCTTACTCAGCCTTCTTCCCCACTTCTGAAATAGAGACCGGGAATTTAATGAGCACATCATCAGGCTCATRTATTTAACACATGCAGAGATGTCAGGTGAAAGCCATGCCCCCAAAGCAAAGGTTTCCCAAGATCCAGGACAGGTGCACATCAGGCACAGCTTGGTACTGAGAATGTGCATGCTGCAGTACAGATTTCCCAGATCCCTTATGCACTGTTTTCTAATGTATTTTACAATGAGGCATCATTGAAAAATGATTTGACTCCATTTTGATTCAGAAAAGTGGTCATGTTTGTGAGCACTTTGTGTAGAATTCACATTTTTCCAGGTGGGGATTCAGATTGTTTAAAATGGGACTTGATTTTCAGTTTAATTACATGCTCATGCACAAAGTAAACATGAATTTGGACCCATCCCTTTAGGCACTCCTCATGGATTCCTGCTCTTTGGCTGTGGCCTTTTCTTACCTGTGTAATTAGGAGGGCACAGACACTCGTAGTTGTTGATCCCATCCACACACGTGGAGTTATTCTCGCAGTCATTATCTTCACAGTCATCTGGGTTTATTTCACACCTCTCCCCCTCATAGCCAAGAAGACAAGAACAGCTTTGGCGAAAGGAAAAAAAAAAGTTAACATGGCTCTAAAGGGACAGGTTTGAGGTATAAAACTGAAATTAAAACATATAAAAATCAGTTACAGCYAGATTCACTGCTGCTGTGGGGCACAGAGCAATTTGCCCCCGTGTGTTTGGTGAAGGATGCAGTCTGATGGCTCCTGGGGCCACATAATTATTTATGTGAGACCAAAACCATCCTCAGGACCAGCCTCTGCCCTGCTTCCATTGCTGRCTTTATTGATAACTCTGGCCCTTGGCTGGAGTAAGCAACTCCAGGGCAGGAGGGTCAACATTCATCCCAATATCCAGCTCCTTGGCTTCTCTGTTAAAGTTTCTGTGAGAATGTGGACATTTGCCTGCTGAGGGCTGCACAATCACAGGRCAGCTTGGCAGCTCTCAGATGCCTCTGTCTCTTCAAAGAGCAGCAGCCTGGACTGAGTTTACAGACATGAGAGTTTCCTTCTCATTACTACTTTGTCACTTGTCCAAACAAGAAATGTTTGGGAATGATTGCCTTTACAAGAGCTGTAGGATTTCAGCACGTCTGCAGCTCCTCCAGCATCTATTTGGAGAAGGGCTGATGGTGCCCAGATAATTCAAATAAAACACAGACCATGGCAGAGCCGGTAATGGCTCTGTGAGGATGTGCACACTAGTGAGGAATAATTGCTCTAGACATTTTATCTCACAGGAGTGTGATGGATGGTCCCCAGAGGGAGTGGAACAAACTAAATGGCTGAAGAATGGCTCCATGTTTTTCCAATCTCCATTTCCTCTCCCGACCTAGAAGCCAGTGTTACAAACAGAGCCTTGATATTTTAAACTATCTGTAAGTGATGAAGAGGTGGAGGCCAGAGAGTCTAAAAACATGAGTTAAGTGCTCMAATAACATCAGTGGCTTTGAGGAAGGCAGCAGTGATACCTGAAGTGTCAGTTTTGAAGTGCCAGCATTGCTGTTCTGGGTTTTAGGAGCCCCAGTCCAAACTACACAGCCACTCAGCTGCTCATTTCCTTTCTTATGAGAGCTCTGGTGGCAGAAAAGAAACTGAATAAATAAAAAGCACTGCTGATTGATGAGGATGAAAACCAGAAAGCACAACAACGGTCACACTAATTGCCATCCACTGCTTTTGGAAAGCAGGAGAATTTCCAAGGCAGACACAGCTGCAGGGCGCTGTTTTCAGCTCTGATGGATGTGGGGTGGTTGTCCTGCTTTCTGTGGGTGCCATGGGGTGGAGATGGGGAAAGCCCTGCAGAAAAAGGWGCTCAGAATCTGTGAAGAAAGCTTAAGGACTTTTCCTTCCCTTCCTCCTGTGTGCCACAGCCTGAGCAGAGTGCAGGGACTGCCAAGGGAGGGGTGGCACAAAGCTCTGCACYCACCCTCRGCAGTCCCAGGCTGGATCCTGAGRATTRGGWCAGATTCTTCATCACAATCTCAGAMAGGAGTAACAAAGAGGAAAAAAAAATGGGAAGGGAATGTGTCTTGAGCCACCACAACAGTGAGCTCTTCCAGAGGATACACAACAGGGACACCGGTCACATTCAGAGTCATCTTCATTCTGCAGGGACCTTCCACAGGTCATGAGAGTCACAAACCTTTCACCAGGAATAACCAAAACCAAACTGCTCAAATAAATCCAATTTAGAACACGATAAATCAATCAGGAATATTTTCTTTTCCTGTCTCAAGCTCATTAATGCTAATAAAACATGTCCTCTTGCTGACCCRGAGCCAGAGGATCACAGGAGATGGAGAGGGAAGAGGAGCTGGCACGCCATCTTTTGTGGTAATGCATGTGTCAATCTGATTTAATCTAATTAAACACACTGATACATTCATCATRTCTTCCTTTTTGATCACAAAACCCCATTTTCAGGATTTAGAACTCAGTCATAAAAATATGCTCCAGGCTGCAACTTGGAAGACAAGGTCTCAGTTTGGGAGCAGGATTTTTCCTCTCCATTTAAAGAAAAGCAACAAGAGTGGCTTTGTGCTGGTGATCTTTTAATGTGAATATAACATCATTTTCGTTTCACAAAAGGATTGGGGCAGCTTGGATGCATGCAATTAAAAATGACATTATTRAATACTATCACACTAACAGTTCACATTGGAGTCACCATTAGTAACAATTCATTTGGGATTGCTAACATAAATTGCTCAGTATTAGGACACATTCCATACTCAGGGAAATGTCAGAATAATTGATGACATTTGGCTACTGGTCCTTATGCAGTACAGGGAGGCTTTACATTATTGCTTACGTATGATTCTTTGTTTTGATTTGCATTCAAATCTGCCAGATATGAGGCCTGAAATTAAAAGATAAAACATGCAACTTGGGACCCAGATGGAACCACATGCTGAAAGAGCTGCAGTTTGGGACTGCTTGTATGTATTGTCCCAGAAAAAGCTTACAAGAAAAATGAAGTCTGCTGAGTGACTGGAAGGTCATCAAACTTGGGTTCCAGCTGACCCAGGGAGAAAATGAATTCCAGAGGCAACGATGAAAACTCTGCAGTGACTCAACAGAGAAGCAGTGTGAGACAGCATTTCATGGGGATGCTGGAAACAATGGAGCCTCGCAGGAAAGAACTGTTTCCTAAGCTGCTGTGCTCCAATAAARGTCCAAATTCCCTATTCCTCCTGTTTAGGGACTGGGGTTGTGTTTTCCTATAAATAATTACATAACATCCCATTATCCTCATGAAGCTGCAAGGGAACACAAAGTTTGATGGCAATATTTTGGGATAAACCTTTGGACCCAAAGCATTTTGTAAGTTTTTTTTTTTTAAGCTGGCAATTTTTAAAGTTCACTATGTTAGTTATTTTTAATAAACTCTAATGAAACAATTTAGGATCTGTTTATTAAAATAGATATCCATACTGTGTGTCAAGTTCCAAAAAGAAAAAAAAAAGAGCTTTTAAATAGAGATAGTAAATTCTTTCAGGAATATTACAATTTCRTGGCAAAGAAGCCTTTTACATCTAGGTCCCAATGGAGTAGCCTGTAAGTCTGGAAGTGCAACGTTTTCCCTTGAACTAGGCAAAATTAACACTAGGCAGTTAATCAGTTCCAG